ATATATTATATTTATATTATATGTTTATAATATAATATAAAATATTATATTATAAACACATAATATAAATATAATACATATATAATATATAGCTATTATATATTTATAATATAAATATAATACATATTATAAATATATGTATAAAATTATATATATATCCTATTAGTTCTGTCCCTCTAGAGAACCTTGACTAATACAGTGGTCTGGAGGCATTTGTGAAAGGGTTTTGGAAAATGCCAGACTTACGATCCTATATGCCCAGTGTTTCCTAGGTGTAGCTAGTATTAAGTGCAAAAAAAAATTTTTTTCTATTTTTTCTGTTTATCAGTGAAACTATTTAAATGACTGAACATAAACATTAACTAGTGCTGATATAATTGTTATATTTAAATATATTTATGTTGTAATTACTCTTTAAGGGGTACTGGTGGGAATTTCAGTCGTTCATTCTCTCAGGACTTCAGTCCCTTAAAAGCACACTTGATGGCCCAGTGCAGTAGAAATGACATTGAGAAAATAATGGTGCATATCCTCAGGAAACATAATCTAGCGGTAAACAAGACACAGTTTCACATAAGTATAATCCTACACGGGTGCAATAAAGTTTGTAAGAAGGTACAAAGTTTTGTAGAATCGCAGGTGTGGAGTCATTTTCAGAGTTTCAGGGAGGTGAAAGCGGCTTCTGTGAATTGTTCCTTTAAGCCCTAGAGGATGGGATTGCAACCGATGAATCGGCTCAAGGAGAAAGGCTGTTCAGCAGGGATCCCACGATGTTCAAGTGCATGGGGCAGTACAGTTGGCTAGAGTTTGGGGCTAGAAGGGTAATTTGGGCCAAGTCACAAGCTCTATCAGTGGGTCTGTTAGGAAGAGGTGGCTTCACTCAGTGAGCAATCAAGAGAAGCCAATGAAGATTTTTGACCAGAGGACTCCCATGATCAAAGCAAAGCTCAGGGTGACTGGGCAGGGAGTTGTGTGCAGGAGAAAGCGAAGGGCAAGGCCAGGAGACAGACAGATGAGTGAAGAAAACATTGCTGTGAGCCAGAGGAGTGTTGCTAAAGGAGCTGAGAGAGAAGTGAAGAGAGGAGATGCAGGGAGAGAGGAGATGCAGGGAGAGAGGAAATGCAGGGAGAGAGGAGATGCAGGGAGAGAGGAGATGCAGGGAGAGAGGAGATGCAGGGAGAGAGGAGATGCAGGGAGAGAGGAGCTCAGCGGCAAGCTGCTGCAGAACCAGCAAAGGCAGAATCAACGAATCAGCAGCATCAACCGAACACAGCAGAGGAAGGAGACGGGAGAGCCTAGAGTCACAAAGTGACAGATGGTGTCATGAGAAGAAGCTGACTCAGCGCAAGATTGTGAATTCTGCTATTGACTCCGTGTCGAGGTGAGTGAAGGAGCTGCCACAGGCTGCACAGCATGGAGCGGAGACAAAAAGGAGGTGGATGGGGAGCCGGGGGCGCTTGGAGAGTTCTCAGCATGCACGTGAAGTTACAGGGTCCCAGGCAGGGCCAGGGTGGGCAGGGAAATGGAACCCACAGGAAGGTTGTGAGTCACCATCCATGCAGCCTCCCTCCTCTGTGCAGCCTTGGATGGGACCAGCTCTGCCAGCACCATTGTCTTTCATTGTCACAGTCCCCTGGCTTGTCATGGCTCTGCACACATGGCCAGCTTTGGGTAATGACACTGGCAGTATCTCATTCTAGTCCTGTTCCTCTCTCTGGCAAAAGCAGCTAGCTAGCTTCCTACGGTTTATAGGAAGACAGAACTCCATTTGTCCCTCCAGGTTTCCTGATTTCAGCCAGTGTATTATTTTAATAGCATAAATATAAAACCGGAGAAAAGTTATGAAAATCCTCCAGGCCAGTGATCTGCATAGAACCTCATGGACATTGTCCCCATTCGGTTCACCTTTTTATAAATCTTAGAAATAGCCCTTTCAGGGTAGAGCTCTTGGGATTTCTAACCAATGTCAAAGATTACTTTAGCAATTCCATGTTTATAGGAGAATATTTTCTATACAGATGGGTTTCTGAAATATAGTTAAAATTATAACAATATGACCATGCTGGAACACAATTTCTTAAATGCACTTACACCCAAAGTCACATGTTTTCTTTTCCTATTTTTAAACTGATAATCTACTGGCCTTCTTTCATGACTAGATGGCAAAAAATGGGACATGAAAAGGAAAAGAAAGAAACAGATTTGCGTTTAGAAGAGTTGGCTGTTGTGAAGAAATGTTGAGTCAGGGCCAGGCACAGTGGCTGACGCCTGTGTGCCTCAATACTTTGGGAGGCCGAGGTGGGCGGATCACCTGAGGTCAGGCATTCAAGACCAGCCTGGCTGACATGGTGAAACCCCATCTCTACTAAAAATACAAACATTAGCAGGGCATGGTGGCGGGCACCTGTAATCCCAGCTACTCGGGAGGCTGAGACAGTAGAATGGCTTGAGCCCAGGAGGCGGAGGTTGCAGTGAGCTGAGATTGAGCCACTGCACTCCAGCCTGGGCGATTGAATGGGACTCTGCCTCAAAAAAAAAGAAAAAGAAAAAGAAATCCTGAGTCAGGACTCCCTAAAGAACCAAACAGGTTGGAAAGTCCTCAAATATTTGACCAGTTACAGTCAGAGACTGACATGGTCTTTCCCTCCAGCCCTACCGTATTCTGCCCTAAGAGGCCAAATGGAGGACTTCCTCTACCACCCATCTTTGGTCTTTTATTATTTTTTATTTTTTATTGTAAAGAGACAGAGTCTCCTATATTGCCCAGGCTGGAGGAGGGCAGTGGCTATACACAAGCTCAGTCCCACTACTGATCTGCTGACCAATGTGGGAGTTTTGACCTGTTCCCTTCCTGACCTGGGCTGGCTCACCCCTCCGGGGCAAGCTGGTGGTCTCCTGCTTCCAAAAGGTCACTATCTTGATGTGGTACTTAGCACAGACACCTCATCCATTGGCACAGCATACTGCAGCCCATAACTCCTGAGCTCAAGCAATCCTCCTGCCTCATCCTCCTGAGTAGCTGGGCCTACAGGCACACACCATGACACCTGGCTCATTTTTTATTTTTATGTTTTGTAAAGACAGGATCTTGTTTTGTTGCCTAGGCTTGTCTTGAACTCCTGGGCTCAAGCAATTCTCCCTCCTCAGCCTCCCAAAGTATTGGGACTACAAGCATGAGCCACCATGCCCAGCCTGATTCTGTTTTTTCTTAAAAATATTGACCTCAGAATAAAATCGCCATCTCTGTCTCCTAAGTGACTGAGTATCTGGATTCATATTCCAATAGCCCCTTCAGTTTGTTACTGTCTCTTGGCATTCTTAAGTCAGGACTTGACCCTGACTCCAATTGACCTAGTAAGGCTTGTTCCAGAAGCCGCCTCTCCTAACACCAGCAGCACATCTCCTTGACATTACTGGAACAGTCTTCTCTTATGAAAAAATAAACATAAAAATAAAAACACAATGGAAAGAAAATCTAGACGTAATGGGGGCAAAAAGTATCTCTCCCTCCTTTCTGGGGAAACATGAGTTCTCCCACACAGAATCAGAGTTCTTTTTTTTTTTTTTTGGCCAGCCAGGGCTCCTTTTATTCATTCAGGGGTGGGTTTTCAAAACACAGTGCAACTTTTATAGAAAGTCGAGAGTGCCAGGAAAGTGGACCTACCAGGTGCAGGGACGCGCAAGAAGCTTGCTGGAACGTTTCTGCTGTAAGGACGCCCTTGATACACTGGCCATAGCTGCTGGCCCAGAAGGTGCCGCAAGGACCTCAGCATGAGATCAGGGTGCCCACTTCATCAGAAGCTCAGGACTATGTCCACGTGTCCTCAGTGGGAACAACAGTGTGCCAAAAAATGAAAATATCTTCACTCAGGATCACAGACTAGGCTTTGCGTAGTGTCTCTTGGCCTAAGAAGCATTCAGGCCGTGTAGGAAGTGTCAGGCCGTTTCCATCCTTCCATAGGACAGGACGTTCCCAACTACCTCTGGGGTCTTTGCTGCAGGCCCCAGGGAGCCCTGTCTTCACAGCGGCATCTCCTCAGCCGCCTTCTTCAAGGGTCCAGACGCCAGCAGAGAATGCTGGGGGACCCCCACGCTGTCAGCCTCCCAGATCTTAAGGCGTACTTTCCGATTCATCTTTCTCCACTAGGAGGAGAGCTGGTAATGGTAGCAAAAGTAGACCAGCATCCAGAGGACAAAGATGTCAAGGAGGATGATGGCGAGGAGGAAAGTGGTGAGGCAAATGATGGTGAGGAGGACATAGACGGTAAGGAGGACATAGACGGTGAGGAGGACACAGATGGTGAGGACCTAGTTGGTGAGGAGGACATACGTGGTGAAGGCATAGATGGTGAGGACATAGATGGTGAGGAGGGCATTGATGGTGGGAAAATAGATGGTGAGGAGGACATAGATGGTGAGGAAATAGATTGTGAGGAGGGCATAGATGGTGAGGACATAGATGGTGAGGAAATAGATGGTGAGGAGGGCATCGATGGTGGGAAAATAGATGGTGAGGAGGACATAGATGGTGAGGAAATAGATTGTGAGGAGGGCATAGATGGTGAGGACATAAATGGTGAGGAGGGCACAGATGGTGAGGACATAGATGCTGAGGAGGTCATAGATGGTGAAGTCATAGATGGTGAGGAGGGCACAGAAGGTGAGGACATAGATGGTGAGGAGGGCACAGATGATGAGGACATAGATGGTGAGGAGGGCTTAGATGGTGAGGACATAGATGGTGAGGAGGGCATAGATGGTGAGGAGGGCATAGATGGTGTGGAGGACGTAGATGGTGAGGACATAGATGGTGAGGAAGTCATAGATGGTGAGGAGGTCACAGAGGGTGAGGACATAGATGGTGAGGACATAGATGGTGAGGAGGGCATAGATGGTGAGGTCATAGATGGTGAGGAGGTCACAGAGGGTGAGGACATAGATGGTGAGGAGGACATAGATGGTGAGGACATAGATGGTGGGGAGGACATAGATGGTGTGGGCATAGATAGTGAGGACATAAGTAGATGGTGAGGAGGGCATAGATGGTGAGGACATAAGTGGTGAGGAGGGCATAGATGGTGAGGAGGTCATAGATGGTGAGGACATAGATAGTGAGGAGGGTATAGATGGTGAGGAGGACAAACATGGTGAGGAGGTCATAGATGGTGAGGAGGGCATAGATGGTGAGGGCATAGATGGTGAGGACATAGATGGTGAGGAGGTCATAGATGGTGAGGTCATAGAGGGTGAGAACATAGATGATGAGGAGGTCATAGATGGTGAGGACATAAATGGTGAGGAGGGCATAGATGGTGAGGACACAGATGGTGAGGAGGCCGATAGTGAGGAGTCTGATGGTGAGAGCAATGAGACCCACGGCCTCCAGCTGGCTGTGAGCCAGAAATGGTCTTTGGCCCCGCGCAGGCGCAATCAGCTGGAGATGGAGGCCAGCGGCTGCTCAACAGGTAGGACACCACATCGCAGCACAGCGTCCCGCAGGCCCGGGTCCTTCTGCCACTCTGTGAGGGGTCGAGGCCGTTTCTTCACTGCTTCTCCACTGCAAACTCCGTGTGACACAGCTCGCAGTGGGTGGTGGTAGACGAGGAAAGCAACCTCTCCAGACACTCCTGTGAGCGGCGCCCAACATACGGGTGCAGCCACATGGGGACAGGAAGTACTGCCCGTTCGCGCCCTCATGGCAGATCGGGCAGAAGGCACCATGGCTCGGTGTGTCCAAGGCACGGATGATGGTGGAGAGGAGCCGGCCATCCCGTCAAGTCACCTATGCCACATAATAGGGCGGTCCAAGGACCGTGGCCTCCATGACCTTGGAGAAGGCAGGGCTGCCAGAGCAGTCACCCAGGGAGCTGGGGAGGTGGCAGCAGTCACCTGTCCTCATGGCCACAGGGAGCCCAGTATCCTCAGGGGTCGAGGCCCGTGGTCCCCCGAGCCTGATCCGAGGCCAGGCCGGGCCAGGCGCCCCCGCCAGCCTCTCGGTTCGCCCCAGCCCTGCTCCCAGTCCCGCCCAGCCCAGCTCGACCTGGTCGCCTCCACCCGGTAAGGGGAATTGCAGTAACAGGAATTGCGGGAGTCGCCTGGGAGGGAGACAGCGCTGCATCCCAGCAGGACTTCTCATGGACAAGGCAGATCTAAGCAAGGTGGGCACAACACAGCCATGGGAACCACAGGTAATGCAGCAACAGGGTGGGAAGCTCTCTGTCAGCCACCTGACACAAATATTTTGTAAAGGAACAATAGAACTTATTAGCAGAGGGACTGATGTGGTTTGGCTCTGTCCCCACCCAAATCTCAACTTGAATTGTAGCTCCCAGAATTCCCACATGTTTGGGGAGGCACCCAGGGGGAGGTAATTGAATCATGGGAGCCAGTCTTTCCCATGCTATTTTCATGATAATGAATAAGTCTCACAAGATCTGATGAGTTTATCAGGAGTTTCTACTTTTACTTCTTCCTCCTTTATGTCTTGTGCCTGCCATGTGAGAAGTGCCTTTCACTCCCCGCTATGACTCTGAGGCCTCCCCAGCCATGTGGAGCTGTAAGTCCAATTAAACCTCTTTTTCTTCTCATTCTCAGGTATATCTTTATCAGCAGCATGAAAACAGACTAATTTAGGGATCCACCAAGGGGAGAGTCTAGGTTCCACTACAGAGAAATGGAAAATAGACCATCATTTAACCAACCCTAGTCTTACGGAGATGCTAAATAGCCTTGCAAATACAGCTGCATAACCAGAGCGATATATGATCAACTCCTATTTCAATTTAGAAATCAGAATCACCATGAAGTAATGAAACAAACTCAAATTCATTTTCCTAAAACCAATCAGCCATGAGACAGATTGGATATTCTCATTTAAAATTTAGAGTGTGTCTCCAGTTGCTTTTTTGGGCCAATGGGAAGAAAGTAATAAGTGGTTTTGTTAATTATTATTAGCATTTTTATTCTCTCTAGAAAATATAGAAGTACCAACAAGTTAAAATAACTCCTATTTTGAATCACAATAAAAGTTCATTAAGTCAGACTCCACTGGTACAAAGTTATAATCATTAAAAAAAAAAAACCTCAAAGATATTATTCTACTAATAGAGTAAGTAAGATTGCAGGGGAACGTTAACGCACCTCAGAGGGACAAGGGAACACATTCTTAAGTACTATCCTAGATAGGTAAGTACCAAGTTATTGATTAGATACCTAATAAGCTGATCACCAATCTTTCAGGCATTCAACAAACCATTCCTCTTGAAAGGATTGGGCCGGGATTGTGGTGAGCATTCAGCTGTCCCTCTATTTTTATTTTCTTTTAAAAAAGATTATGCAGCCATGATTTAAGGCACAGGGTATCCCCCAGCAGGCAAACATCTGTCGTGCCTGCCCTCAAGGGATTTGAAATATAATGACATATTTGACTATGAAAACAATGTTTTTAAACCCTACAATTTATAAAAAATTATATATTATCAGTCTGGTTTTAAATATTTTAGCATTCAGGATTTTCCCTAATTTGGGCTTAACCCTCTCTTCAGTTAATCTTATCTAACTCTGATAGTATTGTATATCTAGAAGAGACTGAGATTCTGGGATCAAATTCTATCACTTTAATGCTATGGAAGCTACATTCCCAGAAAATGAAATGACTTGTCCAAGATCAAATAGCAAGTTGGTAGCAAAACCGGAACAGAAACTCAGATCTCCGGATGAGCTGAAAAGTCTTCTTTCTGCATACTCTGCTTTGTCCGTCCTCTATTAGAAAATTACACTGAGAAACTGCATGAGAATACAAATTGCCAAGAAGAGCCGAATATCCAGAATATATAAATATCTCCCATGAGCAAATAAGAAAAAATCAAAAGAGAAAATGAAAATGGGAAAAGGACATCAACAGGCAATATACAGAAGAGAAAAATCTAAATTGCCAAATATATAAAAAGATCCACCCAACTGGTTATCAGGAAAGTAAAAAATAAGTTGAAATGCAATTTTATACTCATAAGGTAAGTAAGTACTTAATTCTGGAAATACCAAATGAGGACCAGAACATGGAGTGGTGAAAACTCCACACCCTGTTTATAGGTTAATGGGAGAATTGATTGGTACCATCACATCAGGAAGTCATTTGGCAAGATGTAATAAAGCTGAAGACTTTGTTGCCCAAGACTCCACCTCCAGGTACAGACCCTAAAGAAGTTCCAAACACAGGTGCACAAGGAGACATGGGTAAGAATGTTCTTTTTAACACTTTAATAGGGAAACTATTAGAAACAAATATACCTCAATATACAATTGGGAATAGATACATTATGGCATACTGATACAGTGGCAAAATAAAGAACATTTAAAATTAATTAACGACGTCTATGTGTATTTACGTGGCTAGGTCTCCAAAACATGATAAGAGAGAGAAATAGTGTGAAAACATAGAAACCGTACAGTAGGATACTCTTTTTATAATTTTTTTAAAAACCCAAACCAATACCATATGTTATCTTAATTTTATACATAACTATAGCAAAGATGAAGAAAGAATGTGGTTTTAGTTTTGCAGTGAAGGTAGTAAAACACTGATGTAAATATTACATACCTAATTCAAGATAAGGATTGCCTCTTGGTGGGAAGGATGAGAAATTCAATGGCTCAGTCGGAGGTGGAACAGGACTGTGGTGAGACTTCAATTGTCACTCTGTTTTTATTTTATTTAAAATGTATGTGGCAAAATGTTATATTTCTGCCTGTATGCTTCTACATGCTTTAAAGATTTTATTGTCAAATTTAATTGACAAAAGTATTTTCGTTTTAATTAACATAATTTATCTTATATTCATTAAAAACTCAGGATGCCATGCAGATGTGAATCAAAGCAATATGAGGATGATTGTGGGGGGAAAGAGATTAAATGTTTTTAAAGTTTGTAAGCAATTTTACAGAGTAACCTGAAAGACTCTTGGATTGCTTTGCTTCTTAGTGATTTTCGTTTCCAGAGAGGATTTTTCTAGATTCATATTAGCTGTATATAAAATCTCCCAAATTGTTCTTTGATTACTGTTTCATAGATAGATATGATAGATAGATAGATGATAGATTGATTGATGGATGGATGGATGGGATGGAAAAATATGAGTAATTGATAGATATGACTGATAGAAGATAGATTGATCTCAGATATAGATAGATAGATAGATAGATAGATAGATAGATAGATAGATAGATGATAGGTAGAATAACCTGTTGCACAGTTCTTACTCTCTAATGTGTGGTTTTCTCTCCTAACAATTTATAAGATTTTGGATTTCGGTCATAAAGTGTGGGATAGGAAAGAGATTGGAGAGAAAAGGAGAAAGCCTTTTCCCAAGACTTTCTTTTTAATCAGCGGTTTTCCATAAGTTTGCCCTCACTTACAATTTTCTTTCAATGTCACCCTCAACATGCTGAATTATAATACCATTATCAAGTAGAGAGGGGGCCAGAATGACTTTTGAGGTTTTCTTTTCAAACCCTGAGACTTGGAATCTACATACTCAGCGTCCTTCTCAAACTCGGGATTGTCTGATCCAAAGGGGCTGCTGCTGCAGGAATAATCACCGTTACACAGAATCCAGATGGAATCTTCCAGGGCTTGACTGGAAGGAATTGTCTTTGGTGGCTAATTATTCATCAACAACTGATTAAACTTCCTGAATAAAGCTCATTTGTTCACAAGCACATACTGGACACTGCTGCTCCCCAGAGCTGACTCTCATCAGGAGAGAGAACCAGTGAGCGGACAGACCCAGGGCAAGCCCCATGCCCCAGCTTATATGCCTTGTTCTGGCCTTTCTCCCTTATCCTCTCTCTGCCCCTACCGAGTACCAGCTCCGTTGGGAGACCCCACCCAGGCAGCGCTGAAGGTAATGAGAGGCAAACCCCAGACAGAACAGCAGAGTGGATCTATCATGGGGGCCAACAGCTTGAGAGCCTCAGGGGCTGACAGCATTCCAGGCTGAAGGCCCCGAGCAGATTCTGATCAGCGAGCATATTTATTCTTCTTAACAGGTGATTGTTATTAATAAACAGGTGTTCTATATTTACTCATAACTCACAACTATACCAAGTAGGCAGCTGTTACCCACCTACCACTAATTACAAACTAAAAGGTATTCTCCACAAAGGAGCCACGGGGGCAGGGCAAACTTAATGTTTCTCAACATGCCCAGATGTCTGACCTCTCCCACTTACACAGCCACATTCGGCTCTCTCCAGCCCCAGAGCCCTCAAACCACCACTGCTGAGGGGCTGAAGGCTGCTTTGGTCACAGGTAAGCAACCATTTCACCCTCAGAGAGCTGGCCCTGGCTCCCCTGTGACGGTGTCTTTCCACACTCTGCCTCTGTCCCCATAGTCCTGTATTCAGCACCCACTTTTCCCAGTAGTTATGCCTCTGCTTTGCTCAGCTCTCCAACCCCAGGACCCCAGCTGCCAAGCCCTGTGCCCAGCACACAGCAAATATTCCACTCACATCTTCTGAATGAACTCTCTTACATTATCTCAAGGCAGGCTGTCCTAGGTGCAAACAAGTGGTCCAGATCAGCAAAGGAGATGGAAAGGCAAGATGGGTTCAGCTGAGAGGCCCTGGAAAAGGATTCATTAAACTCTTTGTGATTGGACAGTGTTAAAACAGGCTCTGAAGGTGGCTTGCTTAGAGAGAGAGAGAGACTCAAAGTCTTTTTCACTGGGAGAACATGTACAAGGACAAGAGCTCCGACATTTAGGACATGATGGCAGGATTCCTTCTTGGAAAATTCAACAGGCAAAGCAAGGTCAAGTCCCTTCCACCACTTTTCTCCCCTTCAGGGCGTGGAAGTCCTCTAAAATATGAGGTCAAAAAAGTTGGTCACAGTCTAATAGACCGTGCGAGTGAGGCTACCAAATGAACAAAAGATATGATCACTTTCCAGGAACCACTATTTCGGCTGCCTCCTGCTGTTGCTTATTGGAACCCGTAGAGAGGGCCCAGGTTTGGGTTAGGCTTTAAAAAGTAATCCGAGTGGTGAAAAGAGCCCCTTCCATAATCTGAGTGGTGAAAAGAGCCCCTTCCACAATCTGAGTGGTGAAAAGAGCCCCTTCCATAATCTGAGTGGTGAAAAGAGCCCCTTCCATAATCTGAGTGGTGAAAAGAGCCCCTTCTGAACAATTTGCTTTTCTCATACAATTCAGCAATGGTGTCTACTCTGTAAAAACAGAAAAAGAAAAAATAGACAAAGTTAACCTTCAGAACCCAACTTATCCATCTACAAACATATTAAAACTCAAACTTTCTGAGGTTAATAAAAGATGATCACCCTGAAGCATCCTTTTCAGCACAGGATGTAACACTTATCATCATGGAACGTGAAAGCAGCTGTTGGTGCCCATCTAATCTTGTCTTTTCTCCTGCTGCCAGAGCAGTCCCAAGTGATTCTTAACATAGATGGAGAGAGTAATTTTGACTAGAAATGTTTCCTGAGTTCTTAAACCCCATCTATCAAATCCCTTTTTGGTTAAAAAGGGGGCTGTAATATTAACCAACAAATGTTCTAGTTTTCACCATAGTGAGGAAAGATGTTACTTGTTACCTAAATAGCCACATACCAAGTGGGTTAATTCACCTCAACTCTTAGACACAGCACTTAGAGAAATTTCCATCACTGAACACAGAGGGCACATGGAATATTATTCCTGCCAGACTCACAACATAGCATGGTCACCACTCAGGCACCGGAAGGACAACTGGACTAGCTTCCCCTGACGATGAGGATGCTTGAAACGTTCTGTGAACTCAGGATATCATCTGCACACTGACAGAAATTGACTACATAGTAATCGATTATCCTCAGAAGTACCTATAGCTAAGTATCAAACTTTGCACAAAGTCGAGTCCTTTACTTAAGTTCTTATTTTATTTATTTGTATTATTTTCCTCATTCTAGTGTTACTTATTTTGTTACTATCTGTTCTTTTGCTATTTACTTTGTGGTTACCGCAAAGGACCTCATGTGGACTCATCTCCAGTCATCTGGACTCAGCTTCGTCACAAATAAGCACTGATGAGTTTTGTGCTGCTGCATGGTTCGTCAGGATTCAAAGCCAGGCAACCCTGATGCTTTTCATGCTTTGACCAATGCCAGTGCTCATGTAATAAAGGACTTCTTTTAATTAAAAAGAGGATTGGTCTTTTAGGCTTCAAATGCATGTACCTTTAGTTCCCATCCTAGTCATGAGCCTTGGAGAAGACAGCAAGGCCATCTTTAGGAGATTTTGCAAATATGATAAACTGTACATTGGCCCAACCCAAGCATTTTCTAGTCCTGAACAATATTGCTGGACATCAGGTGGAGAAATGATGGTCACTGTGAATCTTGGTTAAATGATCTTTGTCTCTCCAGCTTCAGTTTCCTTGCCTGTAAAATCAAGATAATAAGCCTTCTTAAAGAATTTCTTTAAGTATTTTACAAAAGGACGTCTTTAAAAGCTCAATGCCTGGCACCCAGAAGATACTCAATACTTTACCCCTCATTCCCTTACTCCCCAGCTTCTCAAAAGAACCCTTGCCTAAGAGTCATGAAGTGTCCAGGAAATTCCCAACAAACCTCACAACCTAGATGAAAGTCAAATGAGTGTTTTTACACGTAGAGTAAAGCCACATTTATCCTGACTTTAATGCAAATGCTGTGATCATTTCATCAAAGACCTTCCTTCAAAAAGAATTGCTTCATGAACAAGGCTAATTACAATGCCAAGAATATCAAATGCAGGATATTTTAAAATCCTGGCAGTGTTTCCCACTCAAGACCTTTACACAGTTCAAAAGCTTTGCTCACATGTGCTGATTGTCAATTTCCGTTATCCATCCATTAGTTCAGGTGGTGATGGACAAGCAATGTTAACAGGGAAGCCGGGTTATTTGAAGACTAGTAAAAGTTCATTTCCTCAATAAATTCTGTATTTGAGATTTGTAATAACTTGGTCTTATTTTCCCTAAATTAGGCCAAATAAACGTTTATATGAGATAGCTCAGGCTTCAAGTGAAGAGCCAAGAGACCAAAAGTCACTCTCTCACCTGAGAACAACAGCACTCCTGGTACCCTGTCTCTCACCAGACATGGGCTGATGCTAACACACCCCTCCATGCTCCACCTGAATGCAAATTTGTATGTCACCTTCCCCAATCCTTGACCTACTTGTGCAACCTAATTATTGCCTTAAACTGTTTATTCGTGATGTGTTTTGCCATGCATTTTTTCTCTTAGGCAAAACCCTCTCTGATTTATGGGAAGCTGAAATCATGTGTTTTTGGTTATTCTTTAAAGCACCGAAATGTTACTTTGTAGAGCTAATTTAATGTCCAAAATGTTTTTCAAAGACTTTTTTCTTAGGACTAAAGTTCAATATTTTGCCCAGGGAAATCAATCCCCAGACCCAAAGGACTAAGTTTGGCTTATGATTGCAAGTATCTGAGTTTGCAGGAGGCATTCAATTCAGCAAACTCAGTGTCACTTCCACCAGAAGAATCCTGCAAATCTGGTCACTGTGCCTTGTGGGGAAGTCTGCCATGGCCTTTGGGGTGGACCACAAAGAGCTTAAATTCATTCCTTTGGGAAGTCTGTGTTTTGGAAGTCATTTTGCTCACAAGACCAATAATCCTGAATTTATTTTTCCATTCAAATACAGCATCTTTTGAGCATTTCCAGGCAATATGTGAAAAGATGTACTTGAAGAGATGCCTGCTCTGCTTTGAAATTTTAAACCTGACTATAAAATGTTTTTACTTAAGAGTGTTTTTGGGAGATGTTGGTAAAAGGGTACAAAGTTTCAGTTGTGGAGGATGGATAAATTATTTTTTTAAAAGAATGTTCTGAGATCCCTAACTCAAAATTGGAGAATCCAGGGACAATTCTTAGGCAAGTTATGTACCTCAGAGCTGTCCAGCAGTGTCTACGTGCCTGCAGGACCCTTGCTGTCTATGGCCTCCCTGTCTTGTTGAGCTCCCCCCACCCCACCCCACCTCCATCAACACAGCCAACTCTCACTGAGTTTGACCAGGCACAGGAAACCACCCGGCACCAGGGAACCTAATAGTTGGTGAACTTGGGTACTTCGTCCTTAATCCACGCTGTGAATATTGTTTATCTCACCCACATAAACTAATAGCCTATCATACATTTGGACATGACTTCCAAATACAGGGAGATTCATTTCAGATACAGGCATACCTCAGAGATATTGCAAGTTCAGTTCTAGACCACTGCAATACACGGAATATCTCAATGAAGTCAGTCACATGCAGTTTTTGGTTTCTTAGTGCATATAAAAGTTACGTTTACAGCCAGGCACAGTGGCTCATGCTTGTGATCCCAGCACTTTGGGAGGCCAAGGTGGGCAGATCACCTGAGGTTGGGAGTTTGAGACCAGCCTGACCAACATGGAGAAACCCCGTCTCTACTAAAAATACAAAAGTAGCAGGGCATGGTGGCATGTGCCTGTCATTCCACCTACTCAGGAGGCTGAGGCAGAAGAATCTCTTGAACCTGGGAGGGAGAGGTTGCAGTGAGCCAAGATCGCGCCATTTTACTTCAGGCTGGGCAACAAGAGCAAAACTCTGTCTCAAAAACAAGGGTTACATTTACACTATACTACAATAAACTAAGTATGTATGCAATAGCATTATGTCTTTTAAAAAAATGTACATACCTTAATTTAAAAATGATTTGTTGCCGGGCGCGGTGGCTCACGCCTGTAATCCCAGCACTTTGGGAGGCCGAGATGGGTGGATCACAAGGTCAAGAGATTGAGACCATCCAGGTCAACATGGTGAAACCCCGTCTCTACTAAAAATACAAAAAATTAGCTGGGCATGGTGGCGCATGCCTGTAATCCCAGCTACTTGGAGGCTGAGGCAGGAGAATTGCCTGAGCCCAGGAGGCGGAGGTTGCGGTGAGCCAAGATTGCGCCATTGCACTCCAGCCTGGGTAACAAGAGCGAAACTCCGTCTCAAAAAAAAAAAAATGATTTGTTGCTAAAAGATGTTAATAGTCCTCTGAGCCTTCGGTGAGTCAGAATCTTTTTGCTGTTGGAGGGCCTTGCTTCAGTGTTGATGGCTGCTGGCTGATCAGTGTGGTAGTAGCTAAAGGTTTGGGTGACTGGCGATTTGTTAAAATAAGACAATCACATTTGCTGCTTCAATTAACTCTTCCTTTCACAAGAGATTTTTCTGCAGCATGTAATGCTGTTTGACAGCCTTTTACACACAGTCAAACTTTTTCAGAATTGGAGTCAATCCTCTCAAACCTTGTCACTGCTGTATCCACTACGTTTGTGGAATATTCTAAATACTTTGTTGTCATTTCAACGATGTTCATGGCATCTTGATCAGGAGTAGATTCCATCTCAAGAAACCGCTTTCTTTGCTCATCCCTAGGAAGCATCTCCTCATTCATTCAAATCAGGAGACTGCAGCAATCCAGTAACATCTTCAGGCTCTATCAGTAATTCTACTTTTGCTTTCATCACCTCTGCAGTTATTCTTTCCACTAAAGACTTGAACCCTTCAAAATTATCCATGAAAGTTGGAATCAACTTCTTGCAAAGGCCTGTTAATGTTATAATTTTGACCTCCTCTCATGAATCACAAGGGTTCTTAATGACATCTGTCTAGAATGGTAAATCCTTTCCAGAAAGTTTTTGATGTACTTTTCCCAGATCCATTAGAAGAATCATTCTCTGTGGCAGCCATAGCCTTATGAAATGTATTTCTTAAATAATAAGACATGAAAGTCAAAATTACTCCATAAGTCATAGGTTGCAGAATGAATATTGTGTCAACAGGCATAAACATAACATTAATCTCCTTGTAATCTTCATCAGAGACCGGGTGCATTGTCAATGAGCTGTAATATTTTTAAAGGAATCTTCTTTTTTTCTGAGACATAGGTCTCAACAGTGAGCTTAAAACCTTCAGAAAACCACGCTGTAAATAGATGTGCTGTCATCTAGGCTTTGTTGTTCCATTTTTAGAACACAAACCTGATTTAGCATAATTCTTCAGGGCCCTAGGATTTTCAAGGCCAATTAACTTTGGCTTCAATTTCATGTCACCAGTTTCATTAGTGCTTAACAAGATAGCCTGTCCTTTAAAGCTTTGAAATGGACATTAACTTCTCCTCTCTAGCTATGAAAATCCTAGATGGCATCTTTCTCCAAGAGAAGGCTGTTTCATCTACATTGAACATCCACTGTTTAGCAGTTCACCTTCATCCTTGATCTTAGCTAGATCTTCTGGAGAACCTGCTGTAGCTTCTACATCAGCACCTGCTGCTTCACTTTGCACTTAGTTTATGAAAACAGATTCTTTCCTTAAACCTCATGAATCCACCTCTGCTAACTTGCAACTTTTCTTCTGCAGCTTCCTCACTGCTCTCAGACCTCAAAAAATTGAAGAGAGTTAGAACCTTGCTCTGGATTGGGTTTTGGCTTAGGGCAATGTTGTTGGCTGGTTTGATCTTCTGTCCAGGCCACTGAGACATTCTACATGTCAGCAACAAGCCTGTTTCACTTTCTTATCATTCATATGTTCACTGGAGTAGCACTTTCAATTTTCTTCAAGAACTTTTCATTTATATCTGCAACTTGGCTGCCTGTTTGGCACAGGAGACCAAGCTTTGGGCCTATCTTGGCTTTCAACATGCCTTCCTCACTAAGCCTAATTATTCTTAGCTTTTTATTTATTTAAAGTGAAAGATGTACAACACTTTCACTTGAACACACCTAGGCCCATTATAGGGTAATTAATTGGCCTTATTTCAATATTGTTGTGTCTCAAGTAATAGGAAGGCCTGAGGAGAGAGAGAGAGAGATTGGATAACAGCCTGCCAGTGGAGCAGTCAAAACATACACGTTGGTCAATTAAGTTCACCATCGTATATGGGGTGCAGCTTGTGACACCCCAAAACAATTACAATAGTAACATCAAAGATCACTGGTCACAGATCAGCATAACAGATAAAATAATAGTGAAAAAGTTTCCAATATTGTAAGAATTACCAAAATGTGACATGGAGTCACAAAGTGAGCCCATACTGTTAGAAAAATAGCACCAATAGAGTCACTAAACCCAGAACTGCCACAAACTTTCCATTTGTTAAAAAAAAAAAAAAAAAATCCAAGATGTCTGAATAGGAATAGCTCTGGAGTGCAGTTCCCAGTGAGAACTCAGAGGGTGAGTGATCATCATGTTTCCAAACAAATTTTTACTGCCCTCAGACCAGGAGATTCCCAGGCGGAAAAGCTCCATGAGTCTCCAGCGGCTGTTTCAGCTGGAGCAGCGGGTCTCCACAATAAAACTCACACAAATCAGGATGCCATTTCAACTGGCGCCTGGAATGCTTGGGAGACAGAGTCGCCCATTCCACTGAAAAAATGTGGGCTAAAACAGAGAGCCAGGTGATCTGGCTAAGTGGGTCATAACTGCACAAAGACCAGCAATCCAAAATGCTCTGGATTGAGAGTTTCACAGCAAGCACAACTGGAACCAGGATGATCCAGGTCTATAGGAGGAAGGGCATCCACCATTACCAGGGCAGTCCACCACTACTGAGGCAGTCCACCATTACCAAGGCAGTGCACCATTACCAAGGCAGTCCACCATTACTGAGGCAGTTCTAATTATACCTCTATAAACAAAACCAGAAGGAAATTCACATAGCAGCTGGGAAGAGCCCACGGCAGCTCAGCAATGCCTCTGCTGGCAGACTGTGATTAGGCTACCTCCTGGCTGGCAGGGCATCTCCAAAAAAAGGCAGCAGCATGTCAGGAACTTATAAATAAAGCCCCACCTTCCCAGGACAGAGCATATCGGGGAAAAGGCAGTTATGAATTCTGCTGTAGCAGACTTATATGTAACTGCCCAGCAGCTCTGAATGGACCAATAGAGCCCACAGCTCAGCACTTGAGCTCCTATAAGGGACAGACTGTCTCCTCAAGCAGCTCCCTAGTCCCATATATCCAAAGAGACACCTCATAAAGGAGAGCACAGACTGACATCTGGTAAGTATCTTTCTGGGACAAAGACAACAGAAGAAGAAACTGGTAGCAACCCTTACTGTTCTGCAGCCACTGCAGGTGATCCCCAGGCAAACAGGGTCTGGAGTCGACATCCAGCAGTCCTAGAGCAGAGGGGCCTGACTATTAGAAGGCAAACTCAAAAACAGAAAGAAATAACTTTATCATCAACAAAAAGCATGTCAGAGACTGCATCCGAAAGTCACCAACTACGAAGACCACAGGTAGATAAATCCATAAAGATTGGAAGAAACCAGCACAAAAACGATGAAAACACCCAAAAGCAGAATGCCTCTCCTCCTCGAAGGGATCACAACTCCTCACCAGCAAGGGAACAAACCTGGATGGAGAATGAGTCTGATGAATTGACAAAAACAGGCTTCGGAAGGTGGGTAATAACAAACTTCCCTGAGCTAAAAACATGTTCTAACCCCGTACAAAGAAACTAAGAACTTTGAAACAAGGTTTGATGAAATGCTAATGAGAATAAACAGCTTAGAGAAGAATATAAATGAATTGATGGAGCTAAAAAACACAACATGATAACTTCACAAAGCATGCACAAGTTTCAATAGCCAAATCGATCAAGCAGAAGAAAGGATATCAGAGATTGAAGATCAACTCAATGAAATAAAATGAGAAGCCAAGACTATAGTAAAAAGAGTAAGAAGAAATGAACAAAGCCTCCAAGAAAAATGGGATTATGTGAAAAGAACTAATTTATGTTTAATAGGTGTACCTGAATGTGACAGAGAGAATGAATCCAAGCTGGAAAACGCTCTTCAGGATATTATCCAGGAGAACTTCCCCAACCTAGCAAGACAGGCCAATATTCAAGTCGAGGAAATACAGAGAACACCACAAATATGTTCCTAAAGAAGAGCAACCCCAAGGAACATAATCATCAGAGTCACCAGGATGGAAATGAAGGAAAAAAATACTAAGTGCAGCCAGAGAGAAAGGTCAGGTTACTCACAAAGGGAAGCCCATTAGACTCAGCGAATCTCTCAGCAGAAACCCTACAAGCCAGAAGAGAGTGGGGGCCAATATTCAACACCCTTAAAGAAAAGAACTTTCAACCTAGAATTTCATACCCAGCCAAACTAAGCTTCATAAGCAAAGGAGAAATAAAATTCTTTAAGAGCAAGCAATTGCTCAGAGATGTCATCACCACCAAGCCTGCCTTACAAGAGCTCCTGAAAGAAGCACTAAACATAGAAAGGAACAATCAGTACCAGCCACTCCAAAAACGTACCAAGTGGTAAAGAGCATCAACACAATGAAGAAACTGCATCAACTAATGGTCAAAACAACCAGCTAGCATCAAAATGACAAGATCAAATTCACACATAACAATATTAACCTTAAACGTAAATGGGCTATATGCCCCAATAAAAAGACACAGATTGGCAAATTGGATAAAAAGTCAAAACCCATAAATTTTCTGTATCCAGGAAACCCATCTCATGCACAAGGATACACATAGGCTCAAAGTAAATGGATGGAGGAAGATTTACCAAGCAAATGGAGAGCAAAAAAAAGCAGGAGTTGCAATCCTAGTCTCT